ACACATCCAGACACACAGACATCACTTCGAAAACCACTGTTTTGGGTCCAGGGGGACCAAAAACGAATATATCCACTCAAAACTCAAACTCAAAAATTTTGACGAAAACAATACTTTCTCCATATACTATGGTATAGGGGGAGAAAGTAAAAATGAACAGCTGTTTTATTAAAAAGTATTATTTACATGGCCAAAATGTAAACAACTCTGTGGAGGGATCTTTAAAGGCTTCTGGGACATAGTCTTACCATAGTTTTATTTTTGATAACTCATCTACAGACCAAGATCTTTCTTTGGACACCTCTACCAAGTTTCTACGCCCAGCCGTTCTCTCAAATTAGTGGGGACAAAGTTTCCAATTAAATATTTAGATTCCCCCATGTTAATCTTATGGGAGAAACTCCAACTTTGATGGCCTGTGGGGCAAAGCCCGAGGATTTTTATTACAGGAATTGGTGAAAGGGGGCGTCTAAACAAATAATACTTTATTTTGACACGTCGTTTGTAAAAATCCGTCCATTATTAACGGAGGAGTAGTGTTTCGTAGAAATCGCCTTCACGTATTATATATAAGGATAGCTGAAATTTACGTATTTCACTAAGGTTTTAAGACCAAAACATATAGGGCAATGTAATTACTGCTGGAATACATTTTTAATTGAAGTAAAAAATAAAATTTATATTTTTTCGTTGAGTAGTACATTAGATAAATTAATGATGATGCTTGATGACAAATATGTTCTTGCATAGCTTTATTTGAAGACCAAAATTATCAAAATCGAGTGGGTAGAAAAGCCAAACGAACTCGAAAACACAAAATTTAACTCCCATAAATGTACTGGTACACATTTTGTGCATAACCAGAAATATACGTCAAAAAGAATGTCGATGCTTGATGGCAAATCTGGTGCGTCCATACCTTTAGTCATTATTATCAGTTGTAAGTTTAAAGGAGAAAAATAGTCTTAATCCCAAGAATACTGATGATTTCATTCGAATTACCCTCTGAATTTAAGCAACTACAATTTCCTTTGTGTCTTGCTTTTGCAATTACCATTATTGTAAAGGACTAGGGCAATCTCTGACTATGGTCGGCTTAAATTTAGAAAATTCATGCTTTTCACACGGACAGCTGCATGTTGCGTGCTCACGTGGTGGTAGTTAGGCATATGCCTAAAAACTTATATATATAAGCTGTATAAATTCATAGATATACAGGTTTTTTTTTTTTAAACTTGCATCTTTATTTATGTAAAAACCGCAATAGATAGAAATATGCAGTTTGCCAGAATCATCTATTGACGTAGGGGGCCCAATTGTTTTGAATTCAACGTTACATTCACATTCCCCCCCTTTCCCCCTGCCACCAACTTAATTTTTTTAAATACCAAGCTACCCCTTGTGACGTATCAAATGAAAGAGCATGAAAAAAGAAAATGTTTGATGATAAAAATTGAAAATCGGTTCATAAATTTGCGAGATATTCCCCCCCCTCCCCGGAACTTTTTTTTTTTAATAGCAAGGTACCCCTTGTGATATATCAAATGAAAGACCACATGGTTAGGGTAGTTAGGGTAGTTATCACCCAACCACAAACTGTCGCAGTGGTTGCAGTGTTGTGACATAGCAGACCGATGTGTTAAGGAGCAGACGATTGTCGGTGCAAAAGCGGATAGCTTGACCTTGAAGCTATTGATGGATATTTCTGTCTTGCTTCAATTTCATTTTTGTCAAATGAACTGCGATGACAATACACATTCTGAATTGTAAATTTAAAACAGTTCCAATTACTCCATTATTATAGCTTGATGTTATTTTGTGTTGTTTTAAATTACTTTTCCTTCTATATTAAAAATTTCATTTTGATTGTCGGCAAGTTTGGTTTTGTTTGTTTGTTTGAAAAAAAAACCAAACAATTTTGATTGAAATTTGTCAGTAAAGGTCCTTATAATTCTACACAAAATAGTGCAACCCCCATTCCTGTAAAAATTATGTTTCAAAAGTTAATGCAACATTTCTGTTAAAAAGTAACCCAAGCATGATTTTTTATTGCAAGAAAAATTAAAATATTCTTCCCAAAGATCGGAAACATACGTTTGACAATAGCTTTGTCCATTGATGTAATTTCTGTAATATCAAAAATGATATATCCAAGTATTTATAAACAGTACTAAAATTCTAAAATCCATACTGAACTCTATGTCATTAGCAAAACTTAACACAAGAAGGCACTTAGTTACCAAAATAGTCATAATGTAATAAGGAATAAGTAATAAGTTCATTTAAGATTTTATTTGTATTGATCAAGTGATTCAGTACTAAGTAAAAGTGTAAAGAAGAAAACGGATTTCTAACAACATATTTAAATATAAATATTCAAATATATTTTTACTGGTAAATACTCTCAAATACCTCTCGACTGACTGGTTCTTTACAAATTGGTTGCCCCTGGGTTGGAAGAACTAAGTGAACAAAAATATTACAACAGAGCGTTGGCAGTGGAAGCTTGATGTTAAATAAAAATTTAGTGGGCCATGTGGAATAAAATTCCCCCCAGAAGTCCTTATAGGGGACGTTCTTGGTAGTGTTTAGTTCTTCCAAGGCTGAAAACAATCTTAAGACTACACTAACCTTGCACACTACCACACTTAACTTAGTGTTGCACCCAAGGTGTATCTTTTGTAGTGGATTCTTATTGGTTATAATCACGACTCTTTGAAAGAACTATAGGCTATTTATGCTAGGATTGAAATACCAAAGGTTAATGATAATCAGCAATTAAATCACAATTCCATATATTTAAAAATAACTTCAGTGGAGAATATAATTATAATATAACGATGACAAAAGGTGATGTGTTATGAAATGTATGGACTTTTTACCCTAATATATTTGCCATTAATGTTATCACTACTATATATTGAACCTCTCGGTAGAAGAAGTGATTGGCGCGGTTACAATATAGCCGCGACTGTGACATTAAGGTGTGAAATTTTAATGTTTGAGACGATCCAACACTCACAAAATCCAAAGACGGCTAGTGAAATCACATTGAAAAATTCCCGACTTTTCCCTGACGATTCCATGATTTTTTAAACATTCCCTGATCGACAAATTCAAAATTACAATTTTAATGCTAACTAAATCTTCAAAAGGACTAATCTTTATCTGAAGAATATCTATGTTTGTTGACATGAAAAAAATACATAAAATCTATAGATACAGGCTTGTAGCTTATATTCAAACTTTGCAGCTTGCTTTAATAAAATTAAACAGAGTTTGATAAGATGATACGCAGTTTATAACAAAATTTAATTTGTACAAAAACACAAAATTTATTCGTACAAACATATTTTTATAGTTTTCCCCGACACTGCATACGTACTCTCACCAGATCGACCTTCACTAACAATTATTTTAAACATTTTACAATTTTCCCTGACTTATGACAAAATTCCCTGACTTTTCCAGATATTTAATATTCCCTGACATTTCCAGGTTTTCCAGGTCACTAGCCACCCTGAAAGACTATAAAATTGAAGTGTAGATCTCGTTGTCCAATTTGTTACACAGTATAACTGTACGTAACTCAAGGCAATGGTATGAAAGATTTTTTTTTATTATTTATAGCTAAAGAGTGTTATGGCGGATACGTCTATATTGGAATACACTCCCACTAACTACAATCCCAAGCCAGAATCGAACCTGCAGCCCTTCCAAGTGTATTAAATTTTCAAATTAATTTCACCATTGGCAATTATACTCTTGCAACCTTTTGTTTGGAATAATACTGTGTTATGGGAACAATGTGTTTGCAATGACGATTATAATACAAACATTTTAATCAAATTACGTTAATTTTATCACAAATAATTGAACATTTATTTATTTTTTAGAATAATGATAATATCTATGACTATGTATCAATACCAATTAATTAGATCAAAATGGATACAAAATGTACTTATTAGTATCTGAATCTGAAAACATGTGCTCAAGAACAGGAAATGACAAAACATAACATAAAATGTAACGGATTGTACGACCCACTAAGAGTAATTATAACACTAATACAATAAATAATATATAGTTACTTACAATTGGACGTCAGACACAAAACACTTAAGGAATCAGAGAGAATACGGATGAGTTTTTTCCAAAATACGGACAAATTGAATTTTGGTTGAACTAAGACGTGAAATTTCGGGAGCGGTACGTATAAGTTGGTGAGGATGAAACGAGTTTTTCCTAACTTAATTTAATTCCAAACACGTGGCAATTATATCCCTGCAGGATATAGGCTTTAGGGTTTGTTGAAAATTAAATTTTTGCCAACTAACACTGCAAACTACGAATTGATTTGCACGACTCCACTTAACAACTCACCCCACGCATAGGAAGGTTGGAGACACACTGGTCACTGAGACAGACCCTTGGCTAGAAGCTTTCCCCACCACGTCGTAGGGCCGTTGGGTAAGTCGCCTATGTCTAATCAGCTGACTGGATTTGCGTTTCTAATTTGCTGTTTATATTGCATCACATTCGGTACAAAAGAATGAAATTTAAATTTTGCTTGTCGCTTGTTTTGGGCGACACACCAAGCCTTAGTTGCAACCCAAACTTGAGCATAAATGGGGCCTAAGGTAAATATCAGGGCTATCCCTAGGGTTGGCAGCGCCCGGAGCAAACGTGGTTGTGGCGCCCCCTCCCCCCCAGTAATAATAGTCGCATTCACATATTTTAATCAATTTTATTTATATATAATGAGAAAAAAGTTATAAATGAACATAATATTTGAATTAGCAAGCCTATTCTTTAAATATAATAATCTTAAAAATTTGGTTGTCCGGATGCAGATTAACTCCTAGGGAGGAATTTGGAAATCCATTATGTCTTACTGGGATAATTATTAAGTACTTTTATTTAAGGACTGGTCTTGGTTGTGTTACTTACTTTTTTTAAAGTTGAAAATCAATATGATTAGGCTCAATAATGGAGTGTATTTTAATGTTTCATAAAGAATAATAGGCGAACAGCATTAAACATTTTGGTTTATAAAATATTTTTTAGATAAGGGTAGGGACCTTAATAAAACACAACAATGAATCATAATAGGTAGTCTATAAATTGGAGAAAGTTTTACTGTTTAAAAAATACTTCTTACAACACAATTGAAATAAATAAAGATTATAGGGCGAAGTTAATAGCTGAGCAACCCTTCTGCATTCTTCTGTCATGCTATCCTGAAACAAATAAGCAATAACTCAAAATTGTAATCAGAACTAAATAGAGAAAGGGGTGTCTTGTTAACTTGGTGGTTAATTTGTCCTGGACTTTGCTGCAAGAGAAATTGAGATTGACTTAAAGGATCCTTGCACAAGGTGAGAGGATTCAACATAATTTTTCCATGGATATTGCACACACTTGCCCAGCACAGCACAAACCTGCTAACAGCAGGCTACTATTAAAATTAAAGTAAAGTAAAGTACTGTAGAACCAAATCAGATTACGCTCTTGTGTCCACCATAGCATTATAGAACACCATAGAGCACTAAACGGTTTTCATAGTCTTTTATCAATTAAGTATTAAATGTATCCATTCAAATACATACAAATTATAACCCAGTGAATGATTGAAATACATGTCATGATGAAACCATACAGCGGTAGCCCAAGTACGGCTTCATCATATAAAATCATATGCTAGTTGGTCTGACCATACTGGGCAGGAGTAGAGTGGCCAGCTGTGCTGCGGTTAGCGTATATTCCGGCGCCGACCGCCAGGGGTAATGTGTAGTTACAGCGCACACCGCTGCAGCATCAAGCGCTAGCGACCGTTTCTATAACAAATTGGTAGTTGGGAGTAGTGTTGCCAACTTTGGAGGAATCCCCTGGAATTCGAGTTTACTGACTTATTTAATAATAAGCAATAAATTAATTTAAATGCCATCTTTTATTGTATTTTTTTTAAACATATATTAGTTATACTTTTGTAGTTTCATTACAATGATTCAAAGTTTTTCTTTATTAATCCATAATTTTAGGAAGTGGTTTATTGGAAGGTTTTGTTTTATATTTGCAAGGTCAAAATAAAATTTAACCAGGATGTCTAGTAGTCGGGGAAAACGGGAAAGTCACGTATTAACTTAGTATCGAATTTCAAAATGGTCTTGAAAAGTTGGGATTTAGTCTTTATTTTCATATCAAAGTCGGTAAATTTCATGATTTTACCTCGATCGCGCTAGACAACGATCACGTTTCCATGACGGCGCAAGACGATGATGTGTCTACACGACCGCGGGAGATGTTCTTAAACCGCGACTGTGCTAGACGACGTTTTCGTGACCACGGACCACGGGAAAAATGATCACGTCTTTTCTGCGATCGCGCAAGGCGATTGTATATACGGCCGCTGAAGATGTTCACAATTTTGCCGCAATCGTGGACGACGATGACGTTTTGTGACCACGGCATTCAAAGATGATGTCTACACAGCCGCGGAAGATGTTCATGATTTTGACGCGATTGCAGAAGACAACAATAGCGAATAGTAATCATTTCGTTTGCAAGAGTGGTAGTGCTGGTAACAGCTGGCGAGTAGTCGACGACGACACTGAATTGAATACCGATAACTGATATCGAACGGCAAAAACGCTCAAGCGGCAGATCGCAAAACCTTTCTTTGACCGTCTATATTTACTCTATTGTCTATGACTATAGTATTACACATCTACCATAGCCATAATGTTCTACCACTTCACCCAAACAAAAGAAAAAAATTAATTAGCCTATTAAAGATTCACAAAATATCACAAATTATTCGTGAAATTAAAAACATAAACATAACTGTAAACAGACAGTTATCATTGTGTATCACAGTTTTTTTGTTTCTGCTTAGTTCAAATTAGCTGTTTTCATAAATGAAAAAAAATAATAGTGCTTTATCCTGTTGGTAAATCTTATAACTTTTTTTTTTTTTTTAAAGAGGTTTGTGGCCTCTTTTAACCTTGCATTTGCCCGTCCACAAAGACTACAGATCTGTGCGTGGAACGTATCCAGCAAAGCAAGGGGTGAGCCGGTACAGTACAAAGGTGAACTGTACTGATAAAAGTTAGTGGCAGTGACCAGGATCCGAACAAACGACACTACTGCCTTGGGCCCGAAGTCCGCGACGCTACCGACTGAGCCACCGACTCACCAACTTAATGCAACTTTAATCAACTTAATCAACTTTTAATGCCTTTGCATATCATAGAACCAACCTTTTTAGTTGAATGCCAATCGCAGCACTGAAACGGAGAAATTAAAAAACAGTACTTTCTTAAATAACATGCCTTGTATTATTCTGTCACCATAGGTAACTCTGAAACTCGAACAGTGCTGTAAGTTGATTAAAGAGTATTTTTTTCCAAATATAAAAACTTAACCGCCACAGCACATCATAAGTTAATGTTAAACAAGGACTGAAAATGCTTCTTAGTCATATTGATAGCTTAGCCAAACTTACTTACCTTTATTGCTTTTGATTCTTTTCCAAGAAAATTTCTCTCCTTATTTGGCCCCAAATAAGCAGACAACTTCATCAATATTGTTTACATGTTAAGTACTCTCATACATTAACACCAAACATTTGCAATGCTCCAAGCTTTACAAGAAAATTTACCTGGAACAAAAATAGGCAGTGTACATCATTCAGGCCTACTTCTTGTTAAAAGTAAAAACAGAACTAAACTTTAATGGGTTTGGACCGCTTTCCCTTAAAAGTGTTTGACTTCATTAGAAAAATGCCACTGGCGTAGATGCAAAAAAAAAAAAAAAAAAAAAAAAAAAATAGCTTAGTACCGGTACTATAAAATAAAGCTATCAAGTTTGATTTATAATAAATATAGCCTATATATTTATATAGAGTAAAATATAAATTAAGCTTTTTTTTGGTCGCAAAACATAAACAAATAAAAAGTAGAAGAAGGTAGCTTCTAATGTTATTCTTATGGGACAAATTTAAAAATGTATTTTTAGGGTTTTATAATTAATTATTATTTTTATACGGTATTTTAAAATATCAATTATTAATCAATATTTTTAATTTGATAGTTCAATAAAAAATAACTTAAGTTAGCGTAGCCCAGATAACACATTTGCGGCGGCATGGGAGCGATCGCTCCCATACGGAACCCTAATGCCATCCTGGTGGGTGCGATCGCTCCCAAGCTGCAATGCAGTACGAAATGATTTATTTTTAAGCCAGGATTAGAGCTAGAAACTTGAAACCTCACACAGCACTGCTTAATAGTATACTGTATTTTTTGTGGTGTAGGTTGGTAGTAAATTTTCCCGTAAAATCCCCGTCTGACAATCTCAAAAATGTATTTTTTGTCCCGTCTTTTTCCCTCCATTTGCAATACAATTCCAATTGGACCGGCTACGTTCCAAGCAGTGCTGCTATCTGTGGGTGTTTAGCGAACTACGTCAACTCTTGTTGTAAAACAGGACATCCTCGCACGTTATTTGCTATACGTCAGACCGAAATTGGAAAGCCAATCACACGTGGCAATCGGGTTTGTTCGACGCTGAGGGCCGCGCCGCATTGGGGATACGTCCGCCATTTGACGTGCCGCCGCGAACGTGTTAAGAAACTATAGGCCTACCCAAGTTAAATCTTTTGGCTCAGTATTATCACGCTTACCATTTCTAAGGTTACACTTCCATAAGTTATCTGTTGGCACAAACAACCGAATGAAAATATCGATCGATATACGGTATCGATTATTCGATATATCGTTTGGTATCATTATTACTCATTCGGTTGTTTGTGCCAACAGATATGGAAGTGTACCCATTTCGAACATAGCCTATGCTTACTATCAGTAAATCCAAGCATCCATAGGCCTAGGCTACCCATTTTTTATATAGGCTACATACTAAGTTAGGCCTCGAAGCTACAGGTATTGACCTTTTCAATTGTGTGCCTTTTTCAGCTCAGCATGTTAGCTTAGGTAGTTTTAAGAATGTGATATATGCATGGTTGATAGTAAGGCCCTTCTACAGCCTTAAAGAATATTTTGAAGCAGACTTCAGCTCCATCAATTTTGCATGATGTTTTTAGTTTTTTTCCAAAATAGCCACTCTCATTTAATTTTGTAGAATGAACACTTATTTTTATGTTTGCTTTAGTCAGCATGTTTTACTTTGACTTCATTAGAAAAATGCCACTGGCGTAGATGCAAAAAAAAAAAAAAAAAAAAAAAAAAATAGCTTAGTACCGGTACTATAAAATAAAGCTATCAAGTTTGATTTATAATAAATATAGCCTATATATTTATATAGAGTAAAATATAAATTAAGCTTTTTTTTGGTCGCAAAACATAAACAAATAAAAAGTAGAAGAAGGTAGCTTCTAATGTTATTCTTATGGGACAAATTTAAAAATGTATTTTTAGGGTTTTATAATTAATTATTATTTTTATACGGTATTTTAAAATATCAATTATTAATCAATATTTTTAATTTGATAGTTCAATAAAAAATAACTTAAGTTAGCGTAGCCCAGATAACACATTTGCGGCGGCATGGGAGCGATCGCTCCCATACGGAACCCTAATGCCATCCTGGTGGGTGCGATCGCTCCCAAGCTGCAATGCAGTACGAAATGATTTATTTTTAAGCCAGGATTAGAGCTAGAAACTTGAAACCTCACACAGCACTGCTTAATAGTATACTGTATTTTTTGTGGTGTAGGTTGGTAGTAAATTTTCCCGTAAAATCCCCGTCTGACAATCTCAAAAATGTATTTTTTGTCCCGTCTTTTTCCCTCCATTTGCAATACAATTCCAATTGGACCGGCTACGTTCCAAGCAGTGCTGCTATCTGTGGGTGTTTAGCGAACTACGTCAACTCTTGTTGTAAAACAGGACATCCTCGCACGTTATTTGCTATACGTCAGACCGAAATTGGAAAGCCAATCACACGTGGCAATCGGGTTTGTTCGACGCTGAGGGCCGCGCCGCATTGGGGATACGTCCGCCATTTGACGTGCCGCCGCGAACGTGTTAAGAAACTATAGGCCTACCCAAGTTAAATCTTTTGGCTCAGTATTATCACGCTTACCATTTCTAAGGTTACACTTCCATAAGTTATCTGTTGGCACAAACAACCGAATGAAAATATCGATCGATATACGGTATCGATTATTCGATATATCGTTTGGTATCATTATTACTCATTCGGTTGTTTGTGCCAACAGATATGGAAGTGTACCCATTTCGAACATAGCCTATGCTTACTATCAGTAAATCCAAGCATCCATAGGCCTAGGCTACCCATTTTTTATATAGGCTACATACTAAGTTAGGCCTCGAAGCTACAGGTATTGACCTTTTCAATTGTGTGCCTTTTTCAGCTCAGCATGTTAGCTTAGGTAGTTTTAAGAATGTGATATATGCATGGTTGATAGTAAGGCCCTTCTACAGCCTTAAAGAATATTTTGAAGCAGACTTCAGCTCCATCAATTTTGCATGATGTTTTTAGTTTTTTTCCAAAATAGCCACTCTCATTTAATTTTGTAGAATGAACACTTATTTTTATGTTTGCTTTAGTCAGCATGTTTTACTATTGTACTTATGACTGTCTTGTGCATTTCAAGCATCCATGACAAGATCGATTGCATGTAATTTTGCCTAAAGATCAATAAATGTCTTATGTCTTAACAGTAACTTAAGTACCTAAGTTAGTTAGCCTATATTTCTAAGCACGCTGCTTCAAAAACAGACAATTCCTATCTTAAGTTAATACACCTACACCTTGTTTATGAATGTAGGCCTAAGTCATTAGTTGAATAGGCTGCACTTTAGTTTACGTCCTACACTCATTCTAATGAAAAATATCAGTTAGATTATTCGATATTTCAATTAGGCTATTTCATTAATAACCAAACTTGATAGCCTACTTATATCGTATATAGGCCTATATCGTATATAATGATAATCATTCGATATATTCATTCGAATGTGTGTAGGACGTAAACTTAAGTGCAGCCGTTAGGCCTACATATACTGATATTTTTATTAAGTTAATTGTTTATGCCTGTCACAGGAAATCTGTAACTTAAGTCACAGCTAACTTAAGCTTAAGTAGGCTAGGCAACTGTACCTACTAACTTAACCTAATTAATAACACTCAAGAAAATAATAGCCTACTGCAACTGCATTTTGTTACTTTGAATAACAAGGCTTAGGAACAGGATTGGATTAAAACTTACTGAATTTCAACACCACAATATAGTTTTGGAATTTTTTGATGTTTACAATTTATTAATAATCATTGTTCCTCTCTTTTATCTTCTGTCAACACCAGCCAGACCATTGACAAGATTCATTAATTTTCAATGCCGTTATCCTTCACTTCACTTCATTTTCATATCTTTTAACTTCTCACTATAAATATTTCTTGCATTTTCATTGTCATACAGCATGTAATTGTTGCCATTTCTCGTATAAAAATCGTGTATAACATTTAAATAAATAAATGTTTAGGTTATAAAATACCATATTATCGCCGTTGTCAGTCGTCAGTACGGTGACGGTCAATTACAATTACAATAATTATCGTATCCTACCATAAAATATCGTATATTGTATGGTAGACCTGACTGAAGCGAACAGCTGATGCCATTCCCACAATGCAACATTCTCCTCAATTATAAGCTATGCCCCAAAATCAGAATTATAAGGTATGACTCAAAATCAGGATTATAAGCTATAGAACAGATTCGGAATTATAAGCTGTGCCACTATTTGACCATTATAAGTTGTGACACTGAAAATGTTTCATACCTTATAACGTTTTAGAGAAATTGTGGCATAGCTTATAATTTTTCGTGAAAGTGTGGCATAGCTTATAACTGATTATAAGCTATGCCACATTTTCAACATTATAAGCTATGGAACAAATTCACGATTATAAGCTATGACATTATAAGCTATGAGACCCCACGACTTGATTTGAAATATGTAGGCATACTGATGAACGATAAAATAGCTTGTTTGAAAGATGTAAACTATAATAGTTAATGAATAGCTTGTCGATATACTGGGACTATTTCAGTGTCGACAAAGTGAAACTGTTTCATTGTCGACAATATGGGATGTCGACAATTTGTGGTGTCGATCATTTGCGACGTCGGTTATTTGGGATGTCGGTTAAATGGGAATATTCCAGTGTCGACAAACTGGGAATAATTCAGTTTCGATCAATTTCTACGGTTGTCGATGGAACCCACCCATAATAATGTACTGGCTCAAGGCCACACTAAAAAAAACTTTTTTAGTGCTTTTTTAGTGTGGCCTTGACTGGCTCTGGCAGGCACCCTCCTTAGGACTACTCCCTTCCTCTTGCTATCAACCTGTCTGTTACTGTTGTGGTGTTTGTGTTGATGATGATAAGTTAGTTAAGAAGAAGTAAGTAATCAAGTAAATAAATGCCCTGCCTGTAAAATTTGTCGTCAGTAGTATAGTATAGTATGATGGCATTGACTTGGCTAATTAATCAAATATCACAGTGATGAGTTGATAACGTAACGTGATTTAGTTATAATTTTTGCAAGCGTCTTGAGAAATAAATAACTTGAAGGTAAGTTGATTTTGCTTTGCTTTGCCTCTTTAGTCTAGAATTTGTAGCAGTACTTACACCATCCAGAAACTTAAATAAACACTGCATAACTTTAGCCTAGGTATTTCAATTTATCCTATATTTTCCCTATGTAGGTGTTAAGAACTGTGATAAAGTATACTTTCATAATGTATTCCCATTATAAACATGGCTCACTTTGAAAGTGGATTATCCTAACCCACCAAGACTGACTAGCCTAAGTTAGTCCAACCTTGGCCCAGAACTTAGGTTGACCAACTGGTGCACGAATATTTTAAACCCTTCCTGGACGGGCAAAATCGTGACATAGAACAGGAAAAAATTATTTTTTCTTATTTGTGTTTTGTTATACAAGTAGGCTAAGTAAAATAAACACAATGGAACACTTCATAAATACTGTCAAAATAATTTTTTACTCGTTTTTAACTATGCGGATACCGGTATATTGCCTACCCGTCCACGGATGAGTAGAAAAGCAGCGGATATATCCACCACCCGTCTTTGAAGATATGACCATGACAACGTTAGGCAATAAGTTAAATAAAGAACAATAAGTATGTAAACAATAAATAAAGACAACGTAGTATTGAGCACAAAATGTTGAGGGGGGAGCGTAGGAGAGGTGGGTGGTGCGCGGGAGAGGGGGAGACGCGCGTGAGAGGGGGGAGTTCGGGAGAGAGCGCAGCCATGGAGAGAGCAGGAAAGTGGCACCTTGGTACCGCGAAACATCTGGTTACTGCCCAAAGCACCTGCCAGTCTGTCTGAAGAGAAGGCGGTTATCATAAAAAACCATAAGCGGATATATCCGCCACCCGTCCTTTATTATTACGGTATCGCCAAAGACTTAAGTGGATGTATCCGTCACCCGTCCGGGAAGGGTTAAGACACTCCTAATGGATGTGTAAGGCAACATTGCTACAGATTTCAATAGGCCTAAAGTTCCCTAACTTACCACCTTAAGAAATAAAAAAAAACTCAATACGGTAACTTAGCCTATCTCTTCAAAAACCAAAATAGGGCTGAACATAAGCACAAAACACATTCGCTGCTACAAAAAAATTTTAATATTTTAGCGGTAAATAACTTGCTGAAAATTAAGGTAGGCCTAATTATATCGACCTCCTATAATCCAATATAATTTATTTATATTACAAAATTAAATTTTTTTGTTCAAAATGGTCGTAATTTCAATCAGATTTCAAAAATGATTGTCCGTATTTCCGATTTCCCAGGGAATTTTTTTTGTTGAAAACCCAAGTTGTGTGTTAAAGACATTACAGTTGATTAAATAATTTTAAAAAGTAAAGTGAAAATAAAGTTAACTCTTAAAACTCTGTTTTATAATCAAACTCGCCACTATAGCCTACCCGTGCCTTGCAACGGGGTCAGTATGCAAAAGAGACAATGTTGGTTCAGGTGAAAATATAATCAGGCAAATGGAATTTCGCTTAGTCTGCAGGTTTGTTGCGGCTGGTGTATTTTAAAAGTAACTATTTCCACAAAAATGTACGTGACACTCACTTGTTTCAGGGGTCAAAAATGGTAATTGAAGCAGAGGCAACTACTTCAGGCTCTTCCTCAAGGGAGAGAAAGGATTCTAATGAGGATAAAGAAAAGGATGAGCGAATGTTTGAGTGCAATATATGCTTGGATACAGCAAAGGAAGCTGTTGTCAGTATGTGCGGTCATTTGTTTTGGTAAGATATCTTCTAAGCTCATATAATTAGGATTGCTTAACTAATTCTTTGCAAAAAATGCTGATTAGTAAAATTTGTATAGGCTACAGTTGGATTAGTTGCTTCACATGGCAAATAGGCAAACCTAAGGTTTGTTATTTCATTTTTGTGAGAACTCTATATTTTTTGTCTATAGTTAGGCCTAGCCTATATTAGTGTTTCACATTTAATTTTAGAGTAGGCTACCTATACAGTATTAACACTTTATGATTATGAAATTTATATGGTTTTATATTGCAAACTTAGGTTACGCATAGTATGTTTAGCTTTTACTGTAGCCAAACTGAATTTTGATTAAACCTGTAATCCAACTACCATTTTTACGAAATCGCAAATCAGTCTTAAATCTATCTGACCATGGAAAGGGGATTTTCGGGGGGATGAAGGGTAAGTTATCGGACAAGATAGGTGTTTGGTATATTTTACTCATTAATAGTAACTTATTAAAATAAACTTTTAACTCTTCCATTAAAAGTAAAAAGAGAGATATTTTTGTAATGGACTATTATTTGTATTATTTGTATCGGGCACACAGAACTAGTTGTGAAATAAGCTTTTTCAAAGTAGATTTAAAATATTCAATGTAGGGATGGGCGAGTAGTGTTTTTTTAGTCGAGTCGATTCGAGTTAGCACTTCGACTAACATCCTCCGTCATCGTTTTTAGAATCTTCATCTTGTAGGTGTTCTTCATTATTAGGCTAACAATAATAAATTCTTATAAAAACATTATCTCTATTTCTTCTGCTTTGTGGTGTTCTATGACTTTTTATGTTTCCATAGTTTACAAATCGGTTCATTCAATGACTGTCAAGATTGTCAATTCTATGTAGGCCTATTTATTTGGATAATATATCAAATTGTCTACAGGCTTTCTCACTTTTATCCACTGTAAATATGTTAGCAAACCCAAATTCAAAGAATTTCATTTTAACCTGGTCAGTAAAATTTTGTTTTTGTTAGACGCATTTCCTTAATTATTAACAGCAATTAAATTATCCAGCTGATCATAATGTAAACATTTATGTTCTTCATAAGGATAACATTGGAACTTTAAAAGCCACTGGCCCAAATACACAAGCCCAAGGGACTTTTTTTCAAAAATGTAAGGTCAGTTTGCAAATCTTCATGACACGCTCTTTCCAATGAGACGTCTATGGTCAAAATCGGTTAAGAATGGCGGAGGAGTTCAAAGGACAAATTTTGTGTTGGCATATTAATTATATAGATTACAGAAGATCTGAGACTGTATTGTTTATTTAACCATAAATTGATGTTTCTCAGCTGGCCTTGTCTTCACCAGTGGCTGGACACAAGACCAAATAGACAAGTCTGTCCCGTATGCAAAGCTGCAATATCCAAGGAAAAGGTGATCCCGCTGTATGGCAGAGGCAGCTCAAAACAAGATGACCCTAGGTTAGTATTTTGCTTCCTTTTCCTATTAGTCTTAGCCTACGTGTAAAAAAAGAACTAAAGTATTAATTTCAGTGTTACTTTCTCTGGTTTTAGCGAATTTCCCATATAGGGAATAAGATATTATTATATGTCTCATGATAGGACCTTGACCCGGGACCGATTAATCTTTTTGTTTTGAGGTCTTCAGAGACCAGAAACACCATTCGTTCAAATTCATATATATATATCTGGCGGCGCTTTACCTGAACAGTAGGGTGGGACATTGCAGAATGGGATCATTCTGGGGGTTAGGGTGGTAATTTTTTGAAATTTTTGACATACGGTAAATTAAAAAATTAGATGGGTTTTTATCATTTGAGACACCTGAATAGAAGTTGGAGAATGATTAGATACATGGAAAAATTCCCCATATCTATATTTTTTATCTGGGACCTATGTGGAACAGTTGAGTTGTCTAGACAAATGGATTAATGAAATTGTGTATTTAGGACTGTATTAAGTTCTTTAAAGAATTCTTCATCTTAAATTAATAAAAATGGGTAATTAGGGTACTGTGTAAACAACTGTACCTTCTTCTAAGAAAGGTCTGAAGTCAATTTCGAATGACATTGAAACAAATGTCATTTTGATGATGAAACAACTCATAATAGATAATTGATTTCACAAACAAAATATTAATCCCTACAATTCAGTTGTTTTATCAAATTTCAGACACATAAAATGAGTCCTCGAAGAGGCTCTGCTTCTAGCTTCAATTACTGGTCTCATTACCATTA